TTTTGCTCACTCACTCCTGTCAGTGGTGTCCTGTGAACATGCAGCTCAGATAACAGATAGGCTCAACAGAGGGTGAAAACAAACATACAGCACATTATAAGTGATGAGTTTACAGTATTATAAACAGGTACTCTAATAAAGATTTTTTTCTCTGATATGACCACTGAATTGTGCTTTTCAATTCAGCAGCCACAGACCATCCTGGAAACTAGGATTCTTGAAAAAGTACTATGCAGACCAGAATGCTAGGACTGTATGTGCCTGTAGGAACTGACTGACTCTCATGCGGTGTCTCTAAGCCACAGGGAAAGAGCTACCTAACTCAGGTCCTGCAGCCGCGTTTAACCAGTGGGTATTGCTGCTCTGCTCCTCCAAGTAAAACTTTTCTGAGAACCCCCTAGAAAATTTACTTATTTTCACAAGGACTTTAGGCTGTAGTCTTTGCCAAACATTCAACTATAATGCGCTACACCATACACCTCTACAAAAAGAGAGGGCATCAGGGAAAACAAGACAAAGAAAAGGGTCAGAGAGAACAAAGGAGAAATACAATCCACATTTATTTTTGAGACGAAGCCTGACAGATATTGTTTATGGACTTCACTGCGTTAGATAGTGAACTGTTACGGCAATCTGCAGGTGAGAAATTATTATCAATTTTGTCAATAATGTGAGACCACCCATGCATTCATATGTAAAGCTAATCATATGAAAATGATGATCCTAGTGCAATGGAGTTTGTTATTAAAGAGCGGGGGGCATGCCAAAAAAGACTTACGTTAAATAGATGAGACCTAAGCTCAGCAGAGACAGGAGTCGATGGTAATCGTCTATAAAGCCTCACTGCATAGAAGCAAATCTCAGGACAGCCAGTGAGACTCACGCTCCTGGTCCCCAGGTCTCTGCCCCGAAGCCCTGCTCAGTCTCAGGGCTTCTGGGGCCATAAGCAACACCTGAGCAGGGAAAGGGCAAAAGACTCAGGCTCAGGAGACTCAGATCTCCCTCTGACCACAGGAATTCAGCACCCAGGCCGCAGCCCCACCCTCACCCCATTTCCCACACAGTAACTAGAGACCAGCCTGCACATTCAGAGCAGGAGGGCCCAGCCCTGTCCCTTCAGACCCTTCTCACCCTGGGAGCCCCTAGATGTAAAACTTCTCCATCTCACTTCACCAAAGGATGAAAGGACCCAGTGGTTTTGCTCATGAAACCAGCAGAACCTGTTAGAACCCACCTGCACTCTCAGACCAAGCAGGTTTGCTATCAGCAGCCTGAAGACCCAAAGTCTGGTCCCCCTGAATCAGCCACTCACCTGCGTGTGAGCTGTCACCGCATGGAGCGTCACATGTACCTCACCAACAGGGGTCTCTCGTGGGTTCTCTCCTACACAGAAGCTGGAACTTTGGGGTCCCTCAGCAACCCTGGGTCGACACAAGCTATGCAACCTCTGTCATCAGACATGGTCCGGATAGAGGGGAATTGTTCTGAAAAATCAGACTTTCCACGCTAACTTATGTTATGACCTCCCTTTTTTGTATAACCATAATATCAAAATATTCTGAGCAACTTTCAGCTTACAATTGGACTACCTCAGCCGCACAAGGCCTGCCTGCCCTGACAAGCAAGTACTGCACCAGGGTGAAAAATTCCCCTGAAGTCAGGTGACTTGACTCCTGACTGATAAATAAAAGCAGAAGGGCTGTTTTTGCAAAGTCTCTCTCACTGCTGGATGGAGGAAAACCCAAATCTTACCATTGTATTATCTCACCTAGCCTTCTATACAGCTTCTAAAGAGTTAGTCAAACTTCCTATTGTTTGGCCTTTAGATGTGGAAATTCATCCAGGTTGCCTGTTTTTAAACTAGTCAAGTTTTCCACCTGCTACACCTTAAAGGAATCCACAAAGATCTTCTTGCTAGTTTTTCAGCATTCTACTATGTAGTCTTCAGATAAGGAAATTCACCTATGTCTCCTATTCAGAGATTTGATTAGCAAGGAATTTCCTCTTCTGCCTCCCAGGATAACTCAGATAGAAAAACAAAAACCCATTAAGTAGTAGATAAGGTTTAAGGGACTTCTATCTTAGTTGATCTCCACTATATTAATATTAGTCATAAGCTTTGTGCACTTATGTATCTGTTTTTAACCTTGATTGATTTTAGAATGTTATATCTCAGCTAAAGGGCAATACGACCCACGACCCTAAACTGTTTTTAGAAAAAAGGATGATTGTAATCTCTCAGCCCAGTTCCTGTGCTGATATCATCCCACTACTTACTCCTAATGTATAAAAATAAATCTCTGCTGAAGGCAGAGCAGGAAGACTTGCACCCAACTCCGACTCCCGTGTCTTCCTCGCCCCCCTTTTCCCTTTTTTTTTCCCTTTCCCCCTTTTTTAGGAATCTCCGCTCGCCGACGCCTTCCCACCTTAGGGTCCTGCCTGTCTTGCCTCCAGACACCTCAATAGTTGGAGCTGGTCTCCAACACTGGGTTCCATCAGTTCCCGGGATCAACCCAGTGTGACACCTGCTGAGTGCCTTGTGGGCTTTGGGGTGGACCTGGCTCCACAGCTGTGTGACCCTGCCAGCCCCCCCCGGCGTTTGGCCTCTGACTCCTCGTAGACTCCTCAGATACTGCAGTGACACTCACTGGGGTGAAGCCTGTCTTGCTCAGGTCACAGGGTGCTGGGGACCGTGGCCTGGGGGTGGGGAAGTCTGTGGACAGAGGGCCTGGCCTCAGGCTTCAGCCTGCAGCTCAGCTGTGGGGACAGGAAGGAGCAGGTGAGGACCCCTGGGCCTGTCAGGTCAGCCTCTAGGTGCGTGGGGGCTTCTCCCCTCTGCTGCCCCAGCCCCTTCCCCTGACTCCCTCAGGACTGAGGCCCCAGGCCCAGACCCTAGCCCATCAGCCACACCAGCTGCTCTCTCCGTCCTCCAACCTTCCAGGTCCCCCTAACCCTGAGGGACCTGAAGAGCCTGATGGGGACCTGTAGTGAACTCCTCCAGCTCCCTGACTGGTCCCCCCATGAGCAGGGCACAGGCCTCCTCTCTGCCCCTCAATTCCCAACAGGAACTAGAGACACTCTGGGCAGAGGTCCACCCTGAGTCTCTCCCAGGTGAGTCTGCTCTGAGAACAGGGAGCTCCTGCCCTTCCTTCTTCCCCTGCACACCAAAGCCGGCCTCAGTTTCCCTCAGCCAATAAGAGGAAACAGGAAAGTGGTTCCTCAAACCACTTTGAGGAAAAAGAAAATGGTTTGATTTGCAGACAAATGAGGAGGGCAGCAGACTGGTGTCTGAAAGACCACCTCCTGCTCTGTGCCAGGATGCAGGGGGACTTATACAAAGGGGAAGGGGGGGAGATGGGCAGGGTCTGCAATGTGGAGGGGTCAGGAGTCAGCATAGAGATGGAGACAGGATGGCACCAGCTGCTTTTATCAACAGCTGCTGTTGAACCCCCTTTTCCTTGGGCCCAAGAAGACAAACCTGCAAGCACTGGGGGGCTGCAAGAGATGGGGAAGATGATGTAAAGCTCACCCGAGAGACTGGTCACTGTAACTGGGTCACCATCTCTGTCAACTTTCTTCATTTTCATTCACATGTTTCTCTCACATCTTTCTCTCTGTCATCTTCCTTTCCATTTAATTTCTTGTTCATCTGTTGCTTATATTTCTGTATTAGTGCAAAAATAATTACAATTTCTGTGACAACATCTCTCCCTGCCTCAGGGCCTGGGGGAGAGCAGCTATTCTCACCCCTGGGAGGTCAGACCAGCACACAGAGGCGCCTGCCCAAAGTGGGTGAGGCAGAGCCAGGCCAGGAGGCTCTGCACTGACCAGGGGCCTGGGCAGACACCACCAATGGGGTAGTGAAGTCTGTGGGAGCCCCCGGGGCCCCTTAGGTGGCTGTTTCAGGGATGGAGTGACAGCCTGGGCTGGGAGGGCCCTCCCCAGAGGCAGGTGTGCAGGCTCAGGGGAGAGGTCAGCCCCAGCCAGGGCCCTGCTGGTCAGAGAAGGAGGGGGGTAAAGTGGAGATACAGCCATCACCGTATGTGTGTGTGTGTGAGTGTTATGTTCTGTCTGAGCAGCGATGAAACAAATCAGACACAGCTGTGATAATTTTTCCTACAGAAGGAGAGAATCCAGTGGACTCCTCCTTTTACCAGAGTCGAGATCAATAAACTCCACTGGATTGTCAGTTCATAGAAGTGGGTTTAATCTGCCCATCAGTAACTTTACTTTAAAAGTACAACTCAGTTTATATTCACCACTGTTTTTAGCTTCCTACTGCATTTACTTAAAACTATTTCCAAAGTACTTGAAACCATGAAAAGATTACTGGTATAAACCTTGGTTGAACAGGAAAGTGATTATTAACCCAAACACATCAGAATAGCTTATGTTTGATAAGACAGAGCTGTGAGCAGTAGCAGTGAGTAGTGACAGTGATAGTGAGTGTTGACAGAGCAGCATTGCCAGGCCCTGGGAGCTGGGGGAGGCAGTAAGGAGGTGTGTCCTTCCTACAGGGTGTCCATTGTCCCCCAGGTGTGTCCAGAGGCACCTGCCCTGTGCTCTGTCCCTCCTCCCCTCCCCCTGAACACCAACATGGGCCAAGGGCAGCATTCAAGGGAGATGAGGTCTCTGGGTGTGTCCTCCTGGGGCAGGTCTGGGTCCAAGGTCCCCTTCTTGCTCCCCTGAGGGGTGTGGGGCTGGGGGCGGGGCTGAGAGCTGGGTGGGGTGGGGCACATCCTGCAGCTCAGCCCCTCCCCCAGGTGGCCCCTCCCCCTGAACACCAACATGGGGCCAAGGGCAGCATTCAAGGGAGATGAGGTCTGTGGGTGTGTCCTCCTGGGGCAGGTCTGGGTCCAAGGTGGGGTCAATCACAGATCGAGGTGTCTGGGGTGCTGGTTGTGGGGTTTGTCCTGGAGCTACTGGAGATTTTTCCATATAGCAGCTCTCAGAGTGGTGAGTCTGGCAGTAGAGGGAGGAGAAGGGGGGACAATCCCTACATGGATAAGATGGGACTTTACGGACTGATCCTTGGAACTGTGATGCTGAGCAGTAGTGATGGGGGTTGGAGATGGGGGTGACCTTGTATGGGTAGGGGTGGGGGACTTGCCATCTCCCAGGGAGCGTTTATTCATCTGAGAAAGGCAGGCCCCTCTCCCCTGGAGATCCCCTGGTGTGATATCCATGTTGTGTTTTCATTTCATCTTCCCTTTAATTTCCCAGGAAATACTAATATAACAATTATGGACTAATATATACATTAAAAATCCATCTGCCCATTTACTGTTTCTGATCCTGTGCAGCAACACCGAGTGGCAGGTGAAGCAGGAGCATTGCAGGCTGAGGGCCCAGAGCCGCCCAGGGACTGGCCCAAGCCCATGGGAGCAGCAGGCAGGGCGGGTCAGTGTGTCCTGCAGGCTCCTGACCTGAGCCAGGATCCCCACCACCCCTGTGTCTGCACAGGGAAAGAGGTCATGACCCTCAGCCTCTCCCGTCCCCCGAGAGAGTTTCTCCTGCAGAACAGGGGGAGCCCAGGCCCTTGACAGGTGGCTGTGCTAAGTCTCCCCTGTGTGTTCCTTTCCAGCCTGGAGGAAGGCCCAGCTGTACGCAGGTGAGTGGCCCTGAGTTCCTGGGGCCCCCCAGCCTCCCCTCTGCCCCTTCTCTATCAGGGACCCCACCAGGACGGGGTGGGACCCTGGTCTCCTCTCACCCTGGAGCCTCCATCTGAGACCTGCAGCCCCTGTGAGCACAGACCTGCCTCCCCCTGCCCTGTCCTCCCTCAGGTCATGTGGGATCAGGACACCCTCTGCCCCCTTGTCCCCTGGTCCTTCCTGTGGGGAGGCCAGTGGGGTCATTGTGAGAGAGGCTGAGCAGGATGAGAACTTTGTGGAGCAGGAGTGTGTGATCTCTGGAAGATTCCAGACCTCCTGCTGGCCTGCATGAGTCAGTTCTGCTAAGGGTGGGGAGGGGGGATCCTTTTTGTGTGTAGTTTTGTTTCCTGTTTCCTTTGGTTCTCTGTCTCCTCACGCCCTGTCATGTCCAAGCTGGATTTTCCCTGCAGCCTTCGGCTTGCTGAGGAATCATTTGCTTTAGGGCAGGTGTTTGTGGACCCCTGGGGGGCAGGCTGTGAAATAGCTGCAATTATAAGCAAAATCCTGTGTGTGTATGTGTGCGTATGTTGTGTGTCTTTGTAACAAGATGAGCCGTGTATGACTGTTCAGAACCATCACTTCTTTTTTTGAATTCTTTGAATGTCTACAGTCACTGTTAGTTTATTTTTTTAGAGGTTGATTATGTTGATTGGAAAAGCACAAACCTAGAATGGTCATAATCCATGTCCAGCATGTAGTGGGGGCATTCTGAAAGAAAAGTCTGTATGGACAGAGAGAGAGATGGGAAGGAGTGGAGGGGCGAGTGGGAGACGCGCCCTCTGGGTGTATCAGGACTGGAGCGGCCAAGGGCGCAGTCACCGCCTCGCATTGGTGCCCGGCAGGTGCTGTCCGAGCCTGAAATGAAATGCAGTGGGGCTTTTTGAATTATTTCAGGCAAACGTGCACTTAAAGCCACTACTGAGGCGACCGTCTACCTGAGCTGCTTCTGATCTGAGCTCTTCCCTCCGCTGGCCCACGGCCCTGAGTGTCCAGGACATTGCGGCCTGCAGGGAGGTCGGGGAGCTGGTGAAGGGAGAGCTGGGCCTGGGGGGCCTGAGTCTCTCACCCTTTCCCTGCTCCGGGGTTCCATGGTCCTGTACATACCCTGAGACACAGGGAGGGGGGTGTGGGGAGAGGTCTGGCCAGGGGAGTGAGGCCCTCCTCAGGGTCTCCCTGGTCCCCGGGATTCATGCCCACATGATGAGGTCACAGACTTGTCTTTACCATCATTCCAGCTTCTGCAGAGTTCATGTCTCTTGTACTTTACAAACAAGATGGAAATGGTGGTATCTCTGAGTAAGTGTGCAGGTGTGGTTAGGTCATACATTGGTACACAAAGTGCACAGGAAGGTGTTCCTTGTGTAAGAAGGTGTTCCTTGTGTCTGTGAGTGTGGGTCCTGACTTCTCTCCCCCTCTCTCCTCACTCAGTGGGAAACTCCAGATCTCTCCATGGGCTCTCTGCTATGTCTGACCTGAGTGTGGGGAGTGATCTGACTCATCTTTTCCAGACAGAGTATAGGGTCGGGGATGATATGGTCTTGGGGTGCTGGGGCAGAGAGGCCTTGGATCCCCATTCTGTCATTTCAGGGGCTCCCCTGTGCCACTGGTCTCAGAGCCTGCGTGTCACATGCTGAGGGGGGCAGGGACCCCCGTCAGTTCATCAGGGCTTGTGGGTGACCCTCCCCCTACATCAGAGTCAGGGTCTGGATTTGTCTCTGGTCAGCAAATGAATAAACCTCTGTGTCCTCCCTCCTGTCCCCATCCCTGTCCTCCTCTCCCCACTCGTCCTCCCTCCCTCCCTGCTCCCCAGGCCCCTCTCTCCCTTGATCTCCCCATTGCAGGTGATGTTCCTGGGTCTTCCATCTCCAGGAACATCATGGGGCCCCCTCAGACACTCCCTGACACCCCTGCTCTCCTGCCTGGGTCACACATGGGTCATCAGGGCCCCAGCTACTGCTGACACATTTCCCCCAACACTGAGACGCGTCCCCCACATCATCTCACACGCCCAGGGCAGATGCCTGAGACCCGTCCTGGGCTCAGTCCTGGGTCTGGCAGCTGCTTCCTGCCAGGAGCCCCCTCCTCTCCCGGGACCTCGACCCTGCACTGACGGGTCGCCACCCTCTGTCCACACAGCTGCCAGGCAGCCTCTCTATGGCCTTGTCCGGCACATGCGACTGAGCACAGTGTGGGGTCATGGCTGTCAGGGCACTGTGAACGGCTCTCCCTCAGTAACGTCCCGGTTTCCAGGTCCCATGTCTGTCCCCACTGCAGATATCTTCTTTCCTCTGTTCAGGACACATGTTTACAGGTTTTGGGAATTAGGACATGGATTATTTGGAACCATTTTTCTGCTCATGCAGCTCAGTTTTCCTTGGAAGCTTCCAACTCATTGGGCTATTCGTTGAGAAAGCAGAGGAGTCAATATTTTTGTATTCGTCTCCTTCTGTGGGGATAGTTTGTCCCCATGACTGTGAAATAGAGAGATGTTGTCACACGGCAACCCTGGTGTGGGTTGGCCTGATTGTGGTCCTCACCAAGTGTTTAACGTGATTTATAAGACTCAGTGGCAGGCTCACACAAGAAGGTTAATAAGGGGTTTGTTTACAAAAAGGTGGAGGTGAAGAAAGGAATAAATCAGGGAGACGAGAGGGAGATGAGTTAGTGAATGTGTCCTACCAGTTCCACTGGGCTGGAACCCCAAGAGCACATGGAGAGGTGCAGAAAGACCAAACACCCCGAGGCCCACGTGTCTGGTTCCTACCACGCCTGACTGCTCACCCACCCTCAGGCCCCAGCATCACCCTCCATGGCGGTGACATGGTGGGATTCGGAGTCCTTGGAGTCTTGATCTCTTAGGTCTGGGGTGGGGATGGGGCCCCTAAGACCTGTGTGTGGAGTTTATTCGGGACACCCTCGCCCCACTACAATGTCACCAGTGTGGATCCTCTCAGTGTGTGTCCCTGTCCCCACTCTGAGTGTCTCCCTCCCCTTAGACCTCCATCCCCTCCTGGATGGGCCGGACCCTCGGCTGCAGATCCCGAGTCTCCTCACGCACGTCACCATCAACCCATGTGCAGCTCGGTGAAGGAGTCGCTCTCTCTGTTTGGTTGTTTTCTGTGACACACCGGCTACTTCAGAAGTAACCTGAGGAGCGCTGTCTCCCAGGCTCCATTCTCCAGACCCCACACACTGTGCTGTCCCAGGGGCAATGCCATGGGTCACACGGGCATGGGCTGGTTGTAGCTCTCTTGCCTCTGGCTGAGAGAGAAGCTGCTCCTTGCATTCATTGGTTCTTTAGAAGTACATGTGGTCCCTGACATTCTGATCTTCACAGTTCTTTTTCAAAGAAACCTAGTTTTCTGGATGGGTTTTCTTAAAAAGCAAATTTGGTGGTCATGTCTGTGTAAAGTCCTTTCTGTGTAGTGGTGTCCAGCCTCCTGTCTCTGAGTATTGAGCTTTATGGCTTACTTTCCAGAAGTTTGCCTTACAACCGTTATGCCAGCGTGTGTGTGTGTGTTGGAATCCAGAAGCTAAGAGCACCAATGATGATAAATGCTTCAAACATTTTCCACCGTAAACACAGGGAGGTAGCTGCTCTCTGTTGGGGCAGGGTAACCCACATAATGGGCCCTTCCGGCAAGGCTGTCACCTGCATCCGGGTTCTTCCCATTCCAAGCAGCTCTCACCTGTAGAGACTGAGTTGTTCAGGAGGTTACATGCAGGATTGGTGTGTGTCTGTGACTTAAACATATATGGTGGCTGATCTGAGTGAAGGTCTTTCTGTTGGTTGGGATCCAGTTTCTCAGTCTCTTGAATTAAGCTTAACTTTCATGGCAAAGTTGTTACATACTGGACTTTCTGAGTGTGTGAATTAAAAGGTAAATGCACCAACTAAATATTTGCAAACGTTTTCCCCTGTAAATTCTGTGTCCCTGCTGTGCTCAGTGTCCAGCACCCTCACATGAACCATGAGTCTCTTGCAGACTGGCGGAAGGAGCAGTTCCAGGCCTGTGAGTGACTCTGTCTCCCTGGGGCTGCTCTTGCCTTTCCTTCTGTGCTCTGTGTTGACACAGATTCTGCACCCTCCTGGGGTTGGGGGTGGGGCAGCTGTGATGTCACAGTGCTGGGTGGAGTGCTGAGGGGCTCCTTAGTCCTTGGAATCCAGGTGGCCCTTTGATTTATCTGACCCCAGTAAATCTTGTGGCTCCTTCTCTTGCTTGGGGGGCTGTGGGCTGGAGACCTAAGGCTCTCATTTCAGGGGGCATATCCTGTCCTCAAATAACTAAGTGTCTGGGGTGAGGTAAATGTTTGCTCTTGGTTTAGGACAGTTTCCTTGCATAATGGGGACATCTCTCTGCAGGGTCTGTCACTCTGGATCCAGGTTTCTGCGACCCCAGAATTGTCCTCTCTCCTGACAAGAAGAGTCTGACCTGTCGTCACAATGGAATAGGAGGAGGAAAGAGAGTTTGGGGTCTTGAGGGCATCACATCAGGGCGCTGTTACTGGGAAGTGGAGGTCAGGGGTGGAGCCAGTAGCTGGTGGAGGCTGGGGGTCTGGAAGGAAGATGAGGAAACAAGAGCTAGTTACATATACCCAGGGAATGGATTCTGGGTTGTGGGACTAGTAGAAACAGTATTTTTAGCCTTTACTGACCCTTATATTTGTCTACCCCTCAGGCAGGTCCCCCACAGAGTGGGGGTTTTCCTGGACTATGCTCATGGGGACGTCTCCTTCTATGACATGGCTGAGGGCTCCCACATCTTCTCCTTCCCTTCTGAATCCTTCTCTGGGACCCTCCTTCCATTCTTCTTCTGTCATTCAGGAGATGTGTCCATGACCCTCTGCCCCCTGGAGGCTGGGCCGCAGAAGCCCTCTGTGCCCATGAACAAAACATCTCTGGGGGAGCTTGTGAGTCCCCCAGGTGAGGGGATCCCCTCAGGCTCTGGTGTGGATGGAACTACCCCAGGGCCTGAAGCCCCCCTCCTCCCCTGCATCCCTGAGACCCTGTCCCCATAAAGCCCCTCCCCCCAGCCCTGCCCTGGGCTCTTCCTGGTGCTGCAGGTCCCGTGGACAAACCTGTGATTGAACCGGATGGAAGAGTCTGGTCCCCTGACCTGATGCACACTCGTAGACCTTGGCTGTGAGCATGATCAGGTCAGGCCTGTGCTGATGCAGGAAGGACAGGATTAAGGTGTTTTCTACTGGTTTTGGGTAGGAGGACTTTTCCCATGGGAAATATTGTTTTTCTTAGAGAAGAAAATATTTCCTGGGTTTTTACTGTTTAGACAAGGAAGGAGAAGCATTTGAATTATTCTCCTAGATTAATTGGAGTTTATTTTATCTACTCAAATTTGAATCTAGAAACCTAGGTGCTGAAGGAAGGTCCCCAGATCTAGTTTGAGGGGTCTGGACGCTCTGAGCAGAAAATCTGGCCATCTGACATTTTCAGAGAAATGGCAGATGATGGACACTTAGAGGACCCTGATGTTCTACCTGATCTGTTTCCTATTCTGGAATGGAAAAAAAAAAAAACACCTATTTTTCAAATCTCAGTAAATTTCCATAATTTGTAAAAATTTGTGTGTTAATTTGGGGAATTCAGCAGAAAGTTAGGTTCCCCGTTTGTGTCAGCATGCAGTGAAGGGAGAGAAAAGCCCCCTGAATTTAACTGAGATTTTAGAGGAGACTTTCAGACTTGGGGTGACTTGGGGAGCAGGGGCCTGAGCCCCAGGGGCCCCTGTGCTGACTGGGTCCCTCCATGTCCTGTGGCAAAGGTTCACAGGGCCCACAGCTGCCAGAGGAAGGGAATCCTGAGCCCAGACCTGCAGGGGGAGGTGTGCACCCTCCCCGGGGGCCTGGACCTGGCTCTGGTGGGAGGAAGAGGGAGGGGGAGGGGCCAGGGGTCCTGATGGAGCATGAACCACTGAGGACAGGGCTGTCACAATTTTTACATTTTCTCTTCTTTTCATGTATGTTAATTTCTCTTTATTGTTCGTTTCCTTCCTCACCTTATCCTTATGCTTTTATATAAATTGTTGGAGCTTAAATAGATAAAGGGATTGTGACTGGATTTAATAAATGAACAATGTAGCATGTTAGCTACAAATATGGGGCTGTCGTCTCCTTATTTTGGGGGAAAATGAGCACTTCTTCACGTGTGGGGAAGCTTTCTCCTGACATTTGCGCTGTGTGGATGTCAGCTGTGTGTGAACTGTGTGTGTGGAGTTGAGCAGTCAGAGCTGTGACTCTCCCATCCCCTGTGTCGCTGGAGCTGGGCCCAGGAGCATGTCCCCTCTGCCCTGCCCAGTGTCAGGATGAGCCTGGAGGGGACACCTGGTCACATTAGGACACGCGTCCCTCCTGGTCATGCCGCTTATTTTATTTTTGAAAAGATTTTATTTACTTTTCTGTAGGAGAGCTGAGAGGTAGGGTAGAGTTGTGGGGGTTGAGAGGATTCACCGGAGACAGAGTGGGGAGAAGAACAGATCAATGTACTGAAACACACTGCTGAGGGGAGCAGCGGGGGAAATGGGCGAGGTCTGCCGCGCCATGTGGGTCAGCTCCCTGGCCGGGGTTGAACTCAGACCACGGTGGCGGCCTTGGCAGTGGTCATGCTAAGACTAAACCCCCAGGCCACCAGAGGGGCCCATCTGCTTTTCTTTCGTATCCCACTATGTGATTATTTTTTTATGCTTTTGGTCCTTCCTCAAGAAGTAAGTTTTATTATACTTAAAACTTTACATAGTTGAAAACTGGTGTGTTGTGACTTTTAGGTCACACGTTGGTCTTTATGAAAATTATGGAAACACATTTATGTGGTCCTTCCTTGTGGCAAAACTGGTTAGGACTCAGTCCTGGAAACTAGCTGAAGCCACTTCAGTAAGAATTCAATCCCCTGCCCCGGTGCTGACCCATATGGTGCAGCAGACCTCTCCTGACCTGCCCGCTGCTCCCCTCAGCAGTGTGCTTCATCAGTCTGCCTGTTCTGCTCCCCACTCTGTCTGTGGTGAATCCTCTAGCTGCTCCTGCACCTCTGGCCTGTACCGAGTACTGTATGCATAAATTAATAAATCTTTTTTTTTAATTTTTACATCATTTTGTACATTTTTTTTCATCTCAATTGTAATCCCTGTGGATTTCCCATCACTGAGTCACCCGTGTGCTATCACCATAGTCCTGTGCAGTTTCCTCCCCCGCACCCCGTTTTTGATCCCATTCCCCACCCCACCCCCACAAAATGTCTCTGGTATATGGCTGTTCATTATTCTATTATTTTCTTGCCTGGTCCATTATACTCCTGCTATGAACGAAACCATACGATATTTTTCTTTCTCATTCTGGCTTATCTCACTAAGCATGATCTTTTCCAGCTCCATCCAAGTTGCTGCAAAAGACATATGTTTCCTTTTCTTGGCTGCTGAGTAATAGTCCATTGTACATATGTACCACATCTTTTTAATCCAGTCATCTACTTTTGGGCATTTGGGCTGCTTCCATGTTTTTCCAATTGTAAATAAAACAGCAATAAACATGGGGGTGCAGGTATCTTTTTGAATCAGTGTTTTTGTATTTTTTGGGTAGATACCTAGGAGTGGGATTGCTGGGTCGTAGGGAAGCTCCATGCTAAGCAGTTTGAGGAACCTTCAAATAGTTTTCCATAGTGGTTGTATTAGTGTGTATTCCCACCAGCAGTGCAGGAGAGTTCCTATTTCTCCACATCCTCGCCAACATTTGTTGTTGCTAGTTGTTTGAAGATGTGCCATTCTCACTGGGATGAGGTGGTATCTCACTGTGGTTTTAATTTGCATCTCCCTTATTACGAGTGAGGTTGAACATTTTTTTCATATGCTTGTTGGCCATCTGCATTTCCTCTTTGGAGAAGTGTCTTTTTAGCTCTTCTGCCCATTTTTTGATGGGGTTGT